ATTTACAGCCTCAGAAACCCTGTACAGACAGGGTTGCTATGAGTCGGAACTGACTCCATGGCACATAACAACAACAATAACAAAGGAGCTCTGGCAGTGTAGTCATTATGAATCAGGCTGCTAACCTCAAGGTTGACAGTTCTAAACTACCAGCTGTTCCGCAGGAGAAAGATGAGGCTTTCTGCTCCCGTAGAGATTTGCAGCCTCGGAAATCCTGTGCAGAATCACTATGAGTCGGAACCAGCTACACGGTACTTAACAACAACAACAACAACTTATGCTAGGAGTCCTGGTGCGGGGCTGTGGGTTAATGCGCTAGATTGCAAAGTCAGTTTGAATCACAGGTCAGTGGTTCAAGCTTACCAGCCGCTCCTTGGAAGCCGTATACAGGTTCGCTATGGGTAGGAACCGATTTGATGGCACTCAGCAACAACTTATGCTAAGCATATTCCAGGTGGGCATTGTGGACATAAAACAATCAACGTTATGGTGTTATTTTTCATTCTGATTTATTCCCTATACAAATATTTGCTATTCTTTTAATTCGGGATATGGAAAACGGTGGCTTTCAAATTATTTGTGCACTTAAACCTGACTTCTCTGTAAAACAGAGACTGTAATGGTTTCATAGTCATGCTTTGTTTCATTGGTTTTAAATACTATGTTTTTATTTGTACTTTACTTTCTGTTCACACATAATTGGCTCTATCCCCTTAGAATGGCTTTGGGGTCTTAGCTTCTTTGATTAATCTGTTTTTAAGTTATTTTCTAGCTTTATCTAGGGCAAATGTTTTTGTAAAGATGTCCAATACTTCCTAAAGTACAGTGTCCTGATGTTCTGACTTCCACATCTTACTTATTTATAAATCTATTTTGATTTGTTGACTATATTAAGAAATTGATCCAGCAAGGTCTTTATTTAGGATCCTGCAAAAGTCATGTTAGTTCAGTAGTTTTCTTTCTTAAGATCCTATTGCTTCTGCAATTTGAAACTTTTTTTTTTTCTGTTCTCTTTCTCTTTAAGAACATTTCTCTTGCTTTACTTTCTATATCAAGATGAGTATATTGGGAAAATATAGGCTAATTCTCTTAAGTGCTTTGACTAGAAAATATTTTATGTATTTTTGGTTTGAAATATAATTCATATACTTGATTTTTTAAAATTGTCCCCTAGAGTAGGAAGGAAACACATTGAAAGGCCCAGACAAGCAGATGCAATTTTTATGCTCTATTCATACTAATGAAATGTTTATACTAGAATTGGAACTTTTATTTGTATTCTTGTAGTCTTCTTTTAAATTATTGATCCTTTAAATATCAATTATATATAATACATCAAATATATATAT